TTTGGTGGTTGGGTGGCTCAGTAAGATGATACTAGTGAGCTGAACCGTAAAGTGTGACTGAGCTACAGTACTTTGTTCGTGTTTCAAAGTGATCTGGAGGGAATATTCGAGTAGTTGGGGGAATCTAGGCAACTAGGGTGAAGTTGCGCTCAATTGGTGAGCCAATAGACCCTAGATTGTTAAGTAAAGGGATTTCATTTGAGTATATTGATCTGAACGGTAAAAAGGGATGGAGCCAACTGAATTGTGTGATGTTTTGTGATCCGTTTGAGGGAAGGAATATTCCAGGGAATATACCTAGAATATTCTTAGAAGAGGTACAACCACTCGGACTATAAATAGGGGAGCGGCGCCCCTATTGTCGCCAGCCGAACTGACCAGTTGGTGGTCCCAAGGGACCAACCAGGACATTTCTTGTAATAAGCATTTAATTGGTCAAAATTTGAGTGCAGGTCACAACCCGTGGAGGGTTGTTCGGTGTGTGTGTGTGAGTGTGTGTGGGCGAGCTGTGAGTAACAAAAGGCTCCATTACGTCAGTGCTTTAATACACTCAAAACGTGTCCTATTGGGAACGCCTGCGGGGCCCCAAGCGCGTCTAGAGTGTTGCTATTTTTAGTGTGTCCTATTGGGAACGCCTGCGGGGCCCCAAGCGCACTTTAATAGTAATTGCACATAACGTAATAGACTGGGAAGCCTACGGGGCCCCAGAAAAACACCCTCAGAGAAATCTGGGGTGTTGAGCTATAGTTATCTTACAGTACAATCACGCATTACTAAAGTATACAATACGGCTGGGCGTTTACAACCTTGAGCTGTGCTCCCAAGACAGCTGCTGTATTTTGGAGGTGACTAAAGGTGATTAGAAGTGAAAGTTCGTTGAGCTGCAAACTAATCTACATTCGATTGAACCTGAAGCGGCTGAAAGTGAATAGACAGGAAGGTAAGTAGTTAAGATAAGGGAAAGTTGAGTGGATTCCGCGCTTAATCAAGGCCAGCTCGCAGCTGACAAAGTACTGCCTCAGTGAGGTCCAGTACTGGAAGGAGGCAAAGGCTGGTGAAAGTGTGAGTTCGTTACAGAATTGAGAACATACAAATGCCCCACTCATTGTCACTTGGATCCTGACCAATGAAAGACCAAGAGGCATGAGTCAAGTTGAAAAAAACGCTGTCGAATCCAGCAGTACTCCCCTAGTGCTGACGCCCGCCTCTAAGCCCAGTACTGTAGTGTGCCCTCCTGCTCCTGTGAAAGATAACCTGCAGAAAAACATACAGGAAGATCAAAGACAATCATTGACAAGGGGCCAGGCTTGCCAGCTGCGGAAGAGCTGGAAAGAACTGTCTGAGAAAGTCTTCGAGAACTAGCTCGACTGAAAAGCATTACGCTTTTATCTTAAGTGACAGGAAAACTGGACATTAAGATATACGGTGATGATGTTCTGGTGTCTTTAGGCACTGCACATAGACAAGGTACCAGCCCGAAGGAATGGCTGGACAAGTTCATTGACTTCAACCTGTTGTTGAAATTCTGGAAGGCTGCAGGTGGTCTGTTCCTGACGCTGCTCAGTGTAAACCTATTCGTTTGCAGTCACATCCTCACCGCACGTCTTGTTAGATCACTTCTGAAGGTGTGCAATCAGTGTTGGTGTGATCTGCTGTCGTTTATGCGGGGTGAAGGGTTGCAGCTGGCTGGCATAGCCAGGGAGATTGCCCGCATTAAGGGACAACTCAGTTTTCTGTGGAATTCTGAGCGCATACGGCGTAGCCAGGTCAGGCAGGAAAGGAACACCGTACCCGTCACGTCACAGCCTGTGACGGGTGTAATTGCTGGTCCAATTACCAGCCCAATCCATTTTCAGCTGGCTTGTGCATTTGCAGCTGGAATTGTAACAGGTTGTTGTGTGTCTTTAGGATCCCTTTGTTTGGGGATCTGGATTGGACACATTCTCTAGAGTGTATACACGTGGCCGTGACTCATCGGCCTTAACAGGCAGTCACACGTAATGGCCATTCAACAGAAAACAATGAACAGAAAAGAATAATTAGAAAACAGTGAGTTGAATATAGAGAATACTTCTCTCTCATCCCTACAGAAAACAACAAATAGAAAAGAGTAATCAGAAAGTAGTGGAAAGTGGGAAATAGTTCTCTAAATAATTCTCCAATTTCCACTGGAAAGGCAGCCAAAAATCCCCGGCCCAGCGGCCACATTGGACGGCGTCCGCGGGGCCCCCGGGGCCCGCGGCGCTGCCTATCTCAAGCCCCACAACACGATGGGACCGTCAAAGTTTTCGCCAACGGCCCCACGACGGCGCCGGCTGCCCTGGCGGCCACGGACGGCGGACGGGCCGCCAGGAGGCTCGGAGGGATCGCCGCGACGCATCCCATCGGGGCCCTCGCATCGAGCCCGTGCGCATCCGGCCAAGGTGGGCGCCATGGATGCGGCGGGAGGTCGGTTTGCGGCGCGGGAGCGCGGCGCGACGGCAACAAAGGCGCGAAAGCGATGCCGAGGGGCGCCCGGGGCGGGAGGGGATGGCGTTGCTGCCGTCGGTGATGATGAGTTTGTGGGCGCTGGGGTGGCGGTGGGCTGGGCGTCCTCGGAGCTTGGCTGCGGTTGAGCGTTTGTCGCTGGAGGTTGGGTGAACTGTTGGTGTGGGGGGCGATGGCGTCTTGCGGGTGGCTGGGAGGCCGTTGGGGGTGCGAGAGATTGCCGAGGGCAATTTCTGCGCGGTGTGCGCGTTGCTGCACTATAGGTGCTGTTGCCGTGCGGGGGGGCTTTGCGGTCTTTGGGGAAGGGGAAGAGATGCAGGCAGTCGCTCGAACGCGGGATGGCCGGCGCCGATCTTCCCGGCGCCGCTTTTCCGGCACTGCGGCGCGCATCGGGCGCTGGGCCAATCTGCCGAAAATGGGCCCCCCGGGGAACACGGGCCCCCAGATGACGACAGGCCGGTAGGGCAGGATTGTGGAAGGGGCGAAGTAGGCAACGTGTCGGACGTCCCTACCCCGCTGTTCAAGAGAGTGTCGGGCGCTGCGCCGCAATCTGGGAGACGTTTTGGAAACATCCGACGAGAAAACGGGGGGCAGCAGATCCTGTCGGCCACAGCGGCCGGTTGGAATGGCCCCATCCCTGCACCGTTGGGTGCCTGAAGCAGTCCTGGTGCTGGGCCGTCGGCTGCACGACAAGGGATGGACCTTCGCGAGGACTGCGGTGACAATCCGCGAGCCGAGCGGGCTGCACGCGCAGCATTGCAGATGCCCTGCGTCCGTTTGTGCCCGGGACTGAAGCGCGGTCATGGCCGCGATGAGCCTCGCTGCCTGCGTCGATTTCTGAATTCCTTTGCCATTCCGACTCCAGCATCGCGCACTGGCCGGGAGCCTTTGGGACAGGCCCCCTTCGGAAGTAACGGTTCCAGCCAAGCTCGTGAACCGACACTGGGCTCGAACACAAAAAACACGCGCTTGGGAACATTGCCCGACACAGCCAGTTTGGTGCAAGGGCTTTTGCTTTGTCTTGTGTGGAAAATGTGAATGCAACGAGGATTCGGCTCCCGTGTGGGATTACCCATCGTGCCCTTCGGCAAACGGCGCATGCTTCTGCGTTGGTTCTTTTCTCGAAGCGGAGTTTTGACTGCTGATTGGCTTGCGTTCTTTTGCTTGTGTTTGCTTGTGCGTTGGCTGCAACCTAGCCGCATCCCCTTGCCGACGGCCTCGATCTGCCGACCCGCCTTGCGCCCAACCGCGCTGGGCGTCGCATCTCGCGGCGCGAGAGGATTCCACGCCTCTCAGTTTGTCAGGGATCCGCAATGCCAATGGGGCATCTTGCTCCACTTCACGCTTGTTCGAGATGGGACAAGTTGCGTGTATCTTCGCTTCGATGTTCGGAGCCTTGTGAGCGTTTGACCCCCCCAGCTGGCGTGCCTGCGGGAGGCAGTAGGGCAGCTGGAACACAGCAGTGTGTTGGAAATACGAGGGGGCTCTCACAAGGTTTCAGGGTTGTTAGCAACCCACGCACTCCATACATTCAGGCCCCTTTCATACCAAACACAGTTTCACCCGCGTTGCAGACCTCTGAAAAGACTGGATTTAATCCTACAGCGCAGGAGACCAATCCCACCAAAATGGAGGGCAAAAAGCCCCCTGTCAATAGGCGGTCTTATGTTTGGCACTTCTGTAGTTCGGGCTCTCAGGAACATGGCCCAAAACACGATGTTTCATGTGATTGTTGTGGCTCCTGCATCCACTGCGAACACCTGCACAATGGGATGCTGGGGGCACATTTGAGGTAGCGACGGACAGGAATTCACAAAACTGTCTTGCACAGCCCACTGGTGTCCAATTGAGCTTCAAGCTCAGAAGGTGGGGCATCTAATGAACGACATGTTTTACATTCTGATGAAACGGCCATCGTTGTCTGCTCCATTCTGGCTAGGCTGGAGTGCACTGTGCTGCTGCTTGGGTTGTTTCACAAGCACACTTTCTCCAACTGTGGGGCCCAAAGACAGTAGGGCGCTTTTTGCCTGTGGCTGTGCCCGATTGGCAGAACCTAACATCACCAGTTGTACCAGAAATTTGGTATGATATGAGGGGCATTGAAAAGTGCATACAATGCCACGGATCTCTTGCAGGGTTGCATGATACCAGAAGCTGTAAAATTTAATGACCACTAAACACGCCTCAGTGGCATGACGATTTGAGTTGCTGGCAGATTTTCAGTGAGCAACCACATGTGCTTCTGATGGGCCAACATCCACAAATGCAGTCAGAGATTGACCCACCACCTTCGCAATAACATTCATGCTGAGAGCGATTCGCATATTGTAAAGGGAGCACTGCTGTTTCACCGTGAATTGGCCTGTTGACAGGACAATGACCGGAGTCACCATTGGCGGGCGTTGTTGATGGATATGACATTTCCTCCCTTCTGTGCGTGCAGGGTTGTGCCGACCTTGTCCGGAGGAGTTTGGATTTGTGGCATTGACGAGGTGCCGTGGCAACTGTGAACGATGGGGGAGCCAACAAGCGACCGGGCTGTTGCCAGGACTTGGTCGAAATTCCGCCGCGTCGTGTCAAAGAACTGGGCCGACCTTAAGAGCTTAGGTGCAGCCACAGCAGCAGGTGCCCCTGGGCTGCCATTTCTGGTTTTAGTGAGTGCAGGGTTGCTGGAGAGTTTGCCAGAATGGTTGTTGTTCCCCATGAATCCCCGGATTCTGCTTTTGCGACATGTGCCAGGCAGTGCAGCTGATTGGTTGATTATTTTGACCGAATGGCCAATTCACTCAGGTAACGAATGCACTACAGATAGCTCTGAATATCCTCTGTCAGGGGATCATCAACACTGGTCGCCATTGGGACTCAGGTGACCTGACAGCTGTGCATGCCTAGCAGTCTGCAAGGACAACACAGTGGTAGTCGAAAGTCCTCGAAACATCAGAACAGATGAAATGCTGTGCTTGGGGTGGCCCTTTGTAGCCACAGTCTAAACCAAGAGCCAATCCAACAGTCTGACATCCCAGTCCGCAACTTCTCTTGAGCCAAGCTGGGCAAAATCAAGCTTATGCCATGATCAAGCCAAGGTGGTGTTTTATCCCTTGAAGTGAGCCAACTGTACAAGGATGCGAAGTGCTCAACAAATCGCAGATTCGTCTTGATGGTACTGACCTGATCGTGAGCGTTGTTGAAGTGCTTGGCCATTTTCAGATCGCCTGAAATCTCCTAAGGGTTGATGGTGTCTGTCCTCAGGTGTGCTTCCTGATATGGGTCAATCGGCCCCTCCTCTGGAAGAAGTACCCTTTGTGGAGGCTGCATTCAAGGGGGACCTCAAGCTCGTGTCGCAGCTGATGTCCGAGGGCGCGAACTTGACGCAGTCAGCACTGTTGCCGGTGGGCTCCCTTAAGCACAATAATTGTCCGCAGCCAAAACCTGGCTGCCAACAGGAGACGCTGCAGTTCAGGGTGTGTTTGCTGCAGGTCTGCTCCAAGTAGCGCATCACTGTGTCCAATCAACTGGCCACTGACAGCTTTGTGCAACGTTTGACAAGACCCATGATTCTGCATGGCGATGAAGTGATGCAAGCATTGGCAGCAGTCCTGTTAGACTTCAGGGTGCATGGCCACTGTTTGCCCCTCAAGCACCGTTATCCAAAGAAAATAGCCCAAAGTGAGCACTTGTCCTGTGATGCACATCCCCCTTTAGAATGTGGCTTCAGGACTCTTGCCCATGTTGTAAACTTCTTGCACTTGTTTACCAGTGCAGTTTGGAGTTATATAAGAAAAAGCTGCATGAATAGTGGTTACCTCAAGACACTCATGAGAATTTTGAATTAGATTAAGAACACTCTCTGAAGGGTGTATACCAGCGAAGGTGAGACGGCAGATGCAGCATCGATGGCAGACAGCTGAGTTAGGTCGTCAATCAAATGCGCAGTTCACAGTCAAATGCACAAGTGCCCAATTGCTGGAATCAGTTTTCGGGTGTTGCTCTTTGATTGCATTTGTTGATATTGTCAGGATCCGTGAGGCTAATTTTCCAGATGTTGTTGAATCAGAACTGATGTGGTGGGGTTCTGTGTGCACACAGGATTATGGGGAGGCCTCACCCCTGGGGGCTGCGATATGTGTCAACGACATCGATATTGCAAGGCTGCTAATCGACAACATGTCACAAGCCCAGCTGGGGATCCGCTATGGGCCGCAGAAGCTCACGGCACTCCACCTCGCAGCAGGCATGAAACAGAGTGCATCCTTGACTGGATTTGCAGTAAAGTCGATGAACTGTGCCCACTTGATGCACGTGCTGGAATGGAATGGCCAGTGGTTTGCCCACAGTGCCATTTCAGCCCCAGAATAAGATTGTAAGGTCTGCTGGTGCATTTCTGTCTGAAGCAGAAGGCCAGTGGCGCAATTGCTCTGAAGGACCGTTCCAGAATACAACTTTGCTTCACATCTTTATGTCTCTTTGTTCAATGTGCCACTGTGCTGTTCTTTTGTGGATGTAAAGAATGCTGATTTGTGCATGGTGCACCCAATCACTGCTGCACACAGATGCCAATGCCCTTTCTACTGCATTCCTTGCCAATTGCGCTCAGGGCCTTCTCTATCATCTTTCACAGTGGTTGGAAAAGGGTGCCAGTCCACAGCTGGCACTCAGGATTGGCATGTGTTTCTTATGGATTCTTCCATTTGAGCAACACTTCCCTAAAAGCAGATTCTCACGAAGATGTCGGTCTCGGGAGGGTTCTGGTTCTTGCACTGCATGTTGCCCTCCTTTCACAACGGAATTTTGAATGAGACAATACTTTACTGGCGGCTGCAGGAATGGGCCGCGACGAGATCGCTGAGGCCCTTGTGGCCAAGGGCGCCGATTTGCGGATCCCTGATGCCGCTGGCAACACGCCCCTGGTGCTGGCTGTGCAGAATTGCCACCTGAGCATGGTGTGGATCATCTGCGAGAAGGCTAAAATGGCAGGGCTGAGCCAATACCTGGATGAGTATAACAGCAAAGGCCAGACAGCGCTGCAGGTGGGATGGGCTGCAGCTTGTTTCCCTTGTTTGATTCCAAATGTTGCATCACGTTTAGGAGTCCAGGTGCCACGCCTGCCCCAAATGAAGATATGCAAGGCTTTGGCCACCCGCCTGGAAAATGCAGTCCGGTTTTGGTTTGTTTGGCAGAGTTCACGCCTGGAATCAGGTCCTTGGAACTGCCAGGTTGCGGAGGAGGGAAGGCGGTTGGAAGTTCAGCCGATGTGCGCACATTTAATGCCGAATTGTGGAGCACTGGCTGAAAGGGGACTGGGAGCAAAGTTGATGTCGCGAGCTCGTGTTCAAGAATGACAGATGAAACGACAGTTAGCTGCCGTTATGCCTGCTGTGACTTTAAGGTCCCTGGCTTGGGGTTCAAGGCCTTGTTCGTTGTGCACTTGCAACAAATGCAGTGGATGAAATCAACAGTCACTAATTGGCGGTGCGATGAGTGAAGGGCGTTGCACCACTCCGCAGGTTGCCTGCGAGCTTGGGGAGCTGGCGATCGTGTCGTGCCTGCTGAAGCAGGGCGCTGACCCCAACAAGCCAACCAAGGGGTGGGGAAAGGGCGGACAGACGCCGCTGTGGGTGGCAGCCATGGCAGGGCATGCGGATTGTGTGCAGGTGGGCCTCGGACTCTGCATATGCAGAGCACTCTTTCTGGCGAAACTGCAGCGCTTTTGGTAGTTTTGGCGTGGGTTTGATGCACTCGAACTGCCAGAGTGGCAATGGGTCAGCAAGAGTACTGTGAGAACTCAGGCATTGCACCAATGAACAGCCATTTTCAAGTATCCTGAGGCAGATTGTTGATGATCATACATTAAGAGATGTGTCTCAGGGCAAGACGGTGAGTTATGACAGACTATGATTTTACACTGCTATTACAGCGGGTGCTTGTATGTCCTGGGTGCAATTTTGTCATGGGGATGGCAATAAAGAGAAAATGGAAAGCATTCGCAGGGCCAGGTTTTGCAGATATGCCGCAAGCGTCTTGAAAAGTCTGGAATATGTTCAGGCAGATGGTGGGTTTGATGCTCAGCCCCAGACAGTTAGCCCTGGTGCAAGTCGCAGGAACAATCTTCTCCAAGAGTTTGTTGGTAGAGGTGGCAGACATTGTTTAGAACAGAACGCTGGCTTGGTGCGTTTGCACCAATGCTGAATCCTCAAAGAATGGCCTACAAAAGCGATAGCATTGTGACTTCTTTCTATTTTCGTTGGAGAGCATCCATAGTTGGCGAACCAGTGCAGCGGCATTCGAGCCGCGATCAAGGACTGGCTGGAAGTTGCTGAAATCCAATTTGCATGATGACCTCATGCAGCCAGTAGTTGAGCAGCCGCAACATGCGATTCCACCGTGTTCACTGCATCCGACCACTTTACCATTTCTAATCTGGTGATCAGCTCGCAGCTCTCGTCACTGTGCAGCTTCCTGAGACTCCATCGCCGCACCGTGGCCGTCATTGCACAACGCCCTGCACACTCAATCGCCACGCTACGTCTCTTTGGCCGGCAGCACTGGACCATGTTGCACATTAACACAGCAGTCCTCTGATCCTCCCTTCTTGTGTGCCAGACACTGTTGACTTCAGGCACGCGCGTGAACATCGACATGAAGACCCGCCGGGGTCTGACGCTGCTGCACTTGGCCGTGCTGATGGACCACCCCTCGATCGTCAGCCTGCTGATGGAGCATGGCGCGGACATCGAGACCGGCCATATGCGGCTGGAGGAGGTGCTGCAGGTCGGGGAGGACTTCCCGAACCCTCTGCTCCTGGCGTGCGCCTATGGGAGGCCGGAGTGCCTGCAGGTGGGTTTTTTCTCGTTCTGAAGCGCTGCTTTCAATTTGCAGCCTGGCGCTTGTGGCGATGGGTTTTTAGACAGGGTATGCACGGTCGCCGTCGCAAGAATAACAAGTGATATACCAAACCTCAAAAAGCCCTAGTAACGGCAAAAAGTTAAAAAAAATACAAACCTCTAGGTTTGTATACCAAACCTCAAAAAGCCCTAGTAACGGCAAAAAGTTGACAAAAATACAAACCTCTAGGTTTTCTAGAGAAAACCTACCAAACGTAGAAAACCTAGAAAACCCAAAAAAGCTTAAAAAAAGCCAAAAAACCAAAGAAAAAGCAAACCCAGCCTAAAAAGCTTCAGACTAAAAAACCTAAATACCCGCCAAAAACCTCAAAAAGATGAAAAAGTTAAAACTTAAAACCTAGCAAAACACTAAGAAATAAAAGAACCCTGACAAATCCAAACCTAATCTTCAAATAGCAGGAGATGAAATTAAAAACACTAACATGCAAAAACCGGAATCGAAACAAATGTCGAGATGGCTGAGATGGGCTTTTGCGGGCGCCCAGGCGCTGCTGATGGGCCCCCGCGAGGACGTCTCCCGCATCCTGGAGAAGCCCTGCCGCGTGGACGCCACGGCCGTCGTGGTCGAGCGCCTCGTCGGCCGCGTGCCGGAGGCCGCCCAGACGCCCATGGCCTGGGCCGTGCAGTTCCCCTGCAAGCTGGTGCGCAAGTCCCTCCGCGTGATGGGCATCGGCGGCGAGGTCCAGTTCACCAGCGGCGCCGATGCGATGGACGCCCGCCACGCGGAGTGCGTGCGCGTGCTGCTCGCGGCCGGGGCTGGGATCACCGGGGATCAGCTGATCGCGCTGAGGGCGGGATTGGACGCGTTGAGGGAGAAGGGGGAGGGGGAGGCGGTGGTGGGGCGGCTGGAGGTGGTGCTGAGGGACGCCGTGCGACAGTGCGAGGGGTGCGGGGCGTGGGGGGCGTGGCCCGGCGTGGCGCAGGGTGGGCCGATCTTCTGCTCGGGCGGGTGCCGGACGAAGCGATGACCAGGGGTGGCGTCCTCGGGGCCGTCTTCCGGCCACATTCCCGGCAGTTTCTTGGCATGCCACGGGCTTTTCAAAGGAAAGAAAGAAAAGAAAAATTGAAAAAGGAAAAAAGGAAGAAAAAAGGAGAAAGAACGCCCTGGTTTGTCGGCGGTGAGGCGGCTGCATAGCAGGAAGCACTCCACCACGCTTTGAAAGAAGGAAACAGAGGAAAGGGGAGCAAAAGAGGAAAAGGACAAAAGAGCAAAGAAGCTAGGCGTCCCTTACGTTGTTTGGGAAATGGTGGGACAATGCTCAGTACTTCACTGCACCATGTTCTACCACATTTTTTTGAAAGCGAACCCCAGTTTGTAGGTGGTGCGCTGCATTATTGTGGGAGGAATGCCCAGCCCCCCATTTTCGGGAGAGCAAACGTGCGAGAAATGGACACACGTCGTCCCGGCTTGCCGGCGGTGGCGGCTGTATTGCGTTGTGGGGGCTGTGTTGCGCTGGCTTGGTGCTGGGCCGCGCTTCTCCGAAGGATATGTTGCTCGTGGCTCTCAAGGGAGGTGCTCGCTGTGTACCTGCGCTCTGTTCAATTGATGGAAGGTGATCCGTGGAGAGCGGTGGGGTGTGGGGGCCAGGGAGGACCATGAGGGCTTTGGCGACGGGTGAATGGCCGCTGGGAATGATCGAGTTCGAGGCTGAGGAGGAGTCTTGAATTGCTAATGGGGCAGGATGGCCAGTGTGTCGTACACCCCGTGCGACCTCTGCCGGGCTCTGCGGGGCACAAGTCAAATGGGGACGTCGCCTTGCAAGAGGCGGCTTGGAAGAGGTGTGGAGCAGAGGACCCCGCGAGGTGGGGGCTTTAAGTCAAGGGGTCAATGACCCGATGCCCTGGGGTTGAATGATTTGAATTGATTTGCTCTGAGGACATCGTGCAGAGCAAAATGGCCGGATTGAAGGCATTGAATCCTGCCGATTGCCATGGCCGTTCCCCTTGGCGATGAACAATCATCGGCATCGGGCGCCAGGGACAGAAGACCCGAGTTTGGATGACAGTGATTGGCTTGGAAGCGGGGAGGATGGACTTGAACGATTTGAATTGGTTCTAGACAGTTGAGATGGGGGGCGGGGCCTCAGGCGGTTATGAATCGTGTGGAGTTTGCATCCCTGGGCTCCGTGCTTGGGGTCGAAATGTTCTCCCCTCATTGTCCAGCGCTGATGGGGGAATGAGCTAGCTGCAGAGTGTCGATTGGGCGGAACTGGGCGGATGTCAAATAGGCGGGATTAGGATGGGTTGATGGTTGCATGCTGGCACCCACGCTGCGTCGTGTGGCGCAGGAATAAAGCCCACGTTTTCAATTTTTCATTTTTCCAGCGATTTTTCTCTTCATCGGCAAGCTGGCCAGGGATGTGCGACCGCGCCACTCCTCTTTTCACCCCATTGTACCTTCTCCGGCGTGCCTGTGGCCACGGACGCGCTCTGTGCATAAAGTGCAAGGCAGAGGCCTGGTCATTCATTTCACACAGCTCCAGCAGCGGGGGCAGATGCCCAACGGCCACACCGAACGGCCCTTCGGGAAACGACACTTTTGCAGGCCTTCAGACTTTCTGGGTTTCAAGCCTTTTCGGAGCTGTGGAAAGTGCACGCTCCAGAGCCAAGAGCCTTTCCGGCTTCAGGATTTTTCGGCGGCGCGTTTGCAGGCCTTCTGCCGGCCTGCCGCCGCGGCGCGGCCGACGTGCACGTCAAGGGATTGCACAATGGAGTGACAACGGCGCTCGCAGCGCCCGGTGCACGCAGCACTATGCGTTGTTCGACATCAAGCATCGTTCCGGTCCCTAACACCAATCAATCAATCAATCTAGTTTCGGCCCTCCCCGCAGCCGCTCCCCAACCGCCAAACCCGTCCAACGCAGCCACTGCGCCGCAGTGCGCAGCACCTGCCCACCACAGCCCCCAAGCGTTCCCACAATCCCTCCATCTCCATCAGCAACTCGATGGTCGCGCCCACACCCGCCCGCCGTGGCGCCCCTCGGGTCCGCGTCGCCGCAGCGGCCCAGGCGGTGGCCAAACACAAGCCCTACGCCCACTCCCAACCTATCTGGCACGACAACTGAGCTTCGCATGGTTGGGAGATCCGAGGGTGACCCCATGATCGGGCCGCTGCCTGGTGGTCAAATACAAGCCTACGACTACTTCCGAACTCAGCGCTTGTCTACCGAGGCCCGGACGCGCCACAAAACGGGCGGCCAAACCACAAAGCGCCATCCACTGAATCTAACCTACGTGCGACTGTGAGCGCGCTTTTGCGCGTGTGAATGCGTGCATGTGTGAATGTGTGCATGTGCGCCTTTGTTCTTACAGCCCCCGGCGAAAGAAACAAAAACAAGGCGACCCATCCCACACGAACGACGAAAAAAAGCGCAGGGACTGATGGCATACAAGAAACCCCATGTGAGCAACAATGCACGCCCCAGCGGCGCGTCCCCCTCCAACACCCGAGGCAGCGGACTCGATCGGCTGCCAAGATTTCCGCCGCCCGGCCGCCAGCCGGCGGCGCTGACTGCGTTGACCGGGCGTTGACTGCATTGACCATCGGCCCGCGGCGGACTAGCTGGCGCATCTGAGCCTAGCTCGAAGCTCGGGGCCCGCGCGGTCCAACTCGCCGGGCAGCCAATTGAAGAGCGGTGGCATGGGGAGGCCTGATGGACACACGAGAGGGGTGGGTCACGGTTGTGTGGACAAGTTTATTCAATCAATCAATGCGCCATTACACATGTCAATCAGGTATGATAAATGAAATATGGACCATGCGGTGCGGAGTACGAAGCATCAAGAAATAAGCACTGAGTACATACGAAGCCTTTACTGATAATGCGCATTCATTATCGGTGGCTTGAACATCGATCAGTCAGTCAACTTGTTTACGATCGCCCGTGAAAGCACTGGCCTGTCGGGGATTCTGCAGGAACAATGCGCGGAAGTTGAGTAGAAACGGGGAGGAAGCTTCGCAGAGAGAGCAAGAAACTGAACAGAAACAACGCACATGCTGCAGGGCAATATTAAGAAGAGCTCAGCAGCGCGGCGGCGTGTTGCACCTGCCCCCGCACCCATGGGCCACAAGAATGCCGCTACAGTGAGAAAAAAAGCCCCCAAATCCCCCCAAATCCCCAATATCCTAAAAAATCCTGAAAATCCTAAAAAGTCCTAAAAGTAAAATTGAAGAATACTGTGAATTTCTGAAAATCCTAAAAAGGTCCTTAAAATCCTAATAAATCCTAAAAATCCTGAATACCTGTAAAAGAATCCTAAAAAACCCTTAAAAATTGCTCAAAACATCCGAAACATTCCTCGAAGCATGTGCGTTGCTTCCCAAAACACAATGCGCACAATCATTTGACAGATTTGAGGCATACGAGGCAACGGATGTACGAGATGCTGCTGCCACCATCCTGGTGCAATCTCAACAGCGGGCAGGACGTCTGTAGCGACTGCATCTCGGCATCCTTTGCCTTACATCCGCCAAGCGGTTGCCATCCATTCACTCAAAGTCCTATTGACACATTCGATTGGTACGTATTTGTGTCCTGGGAGCAAAGACAAGCAGTCGCAATCTCTCCGTGCAGCACTGGACAAGCTTCACACAACCGCTTTCCTTTCCAAGACAGTGCTTCCCAAGACAGTGCTTCCCATCAAAATGGTTATTATCAGAACACAAAGCCCTGGTTGCAGTGCCACGAAGTTAAATGCCCATTTGCTGAGTTGACTGGCGTGGCTGGCTCTATGGCCTGGGACACGGCATGCAGTTGGTCCCTCTGTCCATTCCGTGAAGATCTCTTCTTGTTTCGGACACCCTCAACCCTAAACCACTGACCCATAGACTGGCGTTGGCCTTGCCAGAGGAAGAAGAAGGGATCCTCACGGAAAAGACAGAGAGACCAATTTAGTCTCCTGGAATGCCCATGAAGGCGAATGGGCGTAGTACATAATGGGCTTCGGGACTCACCGTCAGGCAATGTGCCACACCCCTGCCGCAGCTCGTCGAAGAATGGATGTGCCATGGCAGCAACGGCCGTTATGCGGTCAGAAGGAGTGTATGTAAGGAACTGCGCCACCTGCGGAAGCGCAACACAAAGCCCTCAACGCCACAAACGCACAACGCCAAACATGAACTTCCTGTAGGTCGTGAAACTGAAGGGAAAAGGGCACTGGATTGAAAAGCCGCTTGTGTGCATGGGAGAATTTCGGGCTGCTGCGTCTTAATGGAGCGGCCAGTCAGTTCCCCATATCGCCGGACAAGGAAGCGGGGCTGCAAACAGCGTCATTGCGACCTCGGCGAGGGAAAACCCTCCTCAGCTGCAGTCGCACAGGTTCGCTGGTCGTTCTGAGGATGGCACTGGTCGTCTTTACTTCTGGTTCGATATGCTTGCACGCTCTGGCAGCTTAGGGGAAGCACGGGGCCGCACAGATGTGCTGCATATTCAATGTCCAGCAAAGGTTGCTACAGACTCAGCAGTGGTTGCTGCCGCTTAAGCAGGACAGGGTAAACTGTGTTCAGCGGCAGCACAACACTAACAAACAAAAATAAACAAACAAACAAATAAACACACAAATAAATAAATAAATAAATAAACAAACAAACAAACAATAAATAAATAAATAATAAACAAAAATTAATAAACAAATGCTAAAACCACTGCAATGCAAGGTTGTCACAGCCTTGACAGAGCACCCTCTCAGGGGTGAGTGCCCTGCATTATCTTGCAGGTGCATGGGCGACACTTGCTCCAAGTTTTGCCGATGCAGGTACCCAAACAACAAACCAAAACAAAATGTCCAAAAAAAACTCAAACACGTATCTGAATGTCCAAGCACACACGGGTGTATTGTTGTACACGTGGGATGCTGTGAGTTCACAACATCCAAGCTGATCAGTTCATGGCAGCTTCGCCTGAAAGGCTGGGCCAGCGGGTCAGTCAGCCAACTCACCAGGTCCACGGCCTCCGCTGGCACCTTCTTGAACATCTTGTGCAGGGATTGCGTCTTCAGCTGTGGGAACTTGAACTCGGTGTAGTTTGGGTTCATGGAGATGATCTGCTCACGCGTGGGAGTGCCCAGCACCTTCACTATCTCCACCAGTTGGTCGATTCCGCTTTCCCCTGGGAACATGCAGCAGAGAAGTTGAACAGAGCCCTAAACGGGCCAGAATGAAACATGAACTCCAGACACATACACGACAACAGAAACAACATAGGTGAACATAGACTTGTACAGAAAACAGCTGGGAAGTGATAGGCGATCAGCAGAAAGGGTAGAAATGATGGTTCTGGCTGCCAGACCATTCGCCCTGCTTTCCAAAACACCAATTTAAGCGAAACTCAAGCTGGTGCAATCCAATTTGAACTTTCATGACCCTGTCACCACAAGATCACCAAGCCAAAGGAAGCAGCCAAAACAACTGGTCAAAGCCACCAGCCAAAGACAGATACAGGGGCAAATTCAGCACAGTGAGTCAAACGATTCGATTCTGACATGTTCAATGCCAAAAGCAAGCAAAGCAGGCAGGTCACACCACATCCATTCCTGAAAGCAGGAGAGCACAGAATTTCGAATGAGCAGAAGCTTTGAAACAAAGGGACAATCTCAGAAA